GAGGACTGTGACATGGAAGGCTGTCACACGTTCCATCAATAAAATCGGACAACTTCATTGCAATATTGAGAAAACTATTTGAGAAATGATCACTATTCATATAGCGGTGTTACATTGATTTTAGTTACGTTGCAATTTTACTCGACTCTTATCAGTTCACTTCTTATCAGCGCGATCGCAGTAAGTTTTACTGTGTGCAACAGTTACATAACTGTAACTGTATAATACACATAACATTAACTCTGTAATGCACTTCAAACTGCAGTATAAAGAGTACGCACTTCGCACAAATGACAAGAAGGTAATCTAGTAATACGATTTTTGGTATTAATATCTTTAATATTAATAACACGGCTTGTTCGATTCAAGCCCGTTCAATGTGGTCAATACCTGATGTGCGGATCACAGGCTTCGTTATTTACAATAGCTGAGATTAGGCAGATATAGCGGTTCCAGTCGTTACCTGGGGACCCCAGGCTGTAATATCCAGATAAATTGAAGCTGCGGCGGAATGACAATCTGGGATGAGTGCGGCCCAGGAATGCCAGCCGTTACGCCGCTCAGCTTAATGTAAAAACTGTATTACAATTGATAGCATCATTACAATTTCAATCACGTTTTAGAGCAATTTACACGAGAGTAGGACAATTATAACCTGTTTAATCTTGTTCGGCGTCATCGAAAACATAGGGTTACAAGGTTTCCGCTTCGATTTCCATCAATAAAAAATCCTTCTAATTTCGATTCTCTGGGCCAGCTGTCTGCTGGGTTTCAGAAGGTGGTACCAGATGCTGCTATAATTGAGCGCTCAGCTGCTCTAATTGGGTCCAATTACACCCGATACACGATATTATTCCATATAAGGCCTGATCAAGTAGCTTCAGCTCTGGTGACGTCACAAAATCTCCTAGTCGGCATACGACACGTTACGAATGTGATCACGTGCCCGAGGCTTTACGAATCAAGGTCACGTGATAGGATTAGCGGTCACGTGATAGGACTGAATGTCACGTGACCTCAGTTATCCCTTATATGGCACAACTAGCTGCAATTGATCAGCTCTTAATTAGGCTGAAATCCTTGACAGGCCTATAATTACCCAATTTTAAATGAACGATATCTCATCCTACAGAATGATGAGAGCGTAAACAAAATGCTTCCCGGAATCAGCACAGTGCAGGGAACAAGATGCTGTTGGAATATCAATTATTCATCTTCCACCCGTAGTCCCTACAGAAACTGGTGTGTATAATACTTTTCCTCGATTTAGAAAAGGCATTCGGTATTATTCATCTTCCAATATTGTGTCCTAAGCCCTAATTATTAGCTTTTGGTATCCAAGGAAATTTTCTTATGTTTCCTGCTTAACCGGACGCAGACGATGTGTCGTAAAGTGAAAAACTATAAATGAGACAGAAGAATTTGTAAATGTATGGACTACTTCAGCTCAGGGGCTGTGCTCTCACCTCTCCTCTTCATATATATGTAGCAGACATGACACAAAACACCACTGTAGAAGTCAAAATATATTATGTTAGCTGCTATAAATTGACTGATGACGGTACACTGATGATTTCCTTGGAAAAAATCTCAGGATGCCATGATAAAATGGAGCTGATATGTGGTCAATTAGTAAGTTAGTTATATTTGCTCAATCTATAATTCATTCATAATTTGATGCAATCTGTGCAGTATAAAATCCAACAGCTACACTCCTTTAGCTTGCCGCCGACTTCTGTGAATCCAGTTTATGCGCTTTAATTCACAATTTCTGAATTGTTCCTGCAAGAGTTCATGAAGAAATCCAGCGTGACTGACTACAGCTAAACACTTTTCAGGTTGTCTGAAAAGCCATTCCCTAAATCGTTTTGCCCTCAATGTTATTGTAACATCGTTTTCATCTTCATCCCACCATACTTCTGGCACTTGCGCAAAATTCACCTGGGATATTATTGATAAAAATGTCTCTGACAATTGACATGACCAACATTAATGGCCAGCGAAAGCTTAATAATTTAACAAAATATTTATGTCTAAAGAATCTGCAAGAATCCTGCAATCCTATTTTTTAGACATAAAAAAGCCTTTGACACAGTAAGCTATAAGATTCTATAGACAAAACGTAAGTATTACGTCGTGGATGGCATGGCTTTGTCATTAAGTGGTTTGAAAGCTACCTGGGTGGCTCAGAAATCAGAGCACCAAAATACATGGTTATGTTAGTACATTGCTTCCTGTCAAGGCTTCGTATAATATCAAAAGTGATTAGCATCTTGTAGTATTCAATTGTTCAGTTTTTTAAAAAATTACAAACCTGTGACCACACAGTCTCTAACTGCGATCTGTTTGTACCATAATTACAAGGCGCATCAGAATATTCTGTGACGAGGTGGTTAGCCTGGAAGGTGATATTAAATTCATCCTATGCTGAAAGCTCAAGTAGACTATGTTAATCATTAGAAATCGGCAGGTTGAATTAGTGATAATTTTCTAACTCATAAATCATAATTACCTGAAAGGGGATGTTAAAGCCATTGAACGTTCCCCATGCTGTTTGCAATGTTCGGGTCATGGGTGATACAACCACTTTCTCTATCTTTACTCCCGATTTTATCAGAGCATCCACCTTTAAACATTTGAAATTGATAAGCTGACCAAATATTTTTGCTGGTAATGGTATTCTAATTAGTTAGGAGTCTAATTTAAAATTATCCTTGAAATTTCGTGACATTATTTTGAAATTACATTATGTCGAACTGGAGGCTTGATCTTAGTCGATAGTTTTCAAATAGATACAAGGTGGTTCAGTAGTGACTGCCCACAGTCAACCATACAATAACTCACATTATTCGTGTCAGATTACAGATATAGGTTAGACTTAAATTCCCTAATATATAATATTTTCGTAAAATTTTGTCGATCACAGTGGGTGTGGCACGCCACTCCCTCTCTCCCATTATTTTCAACATAAAAAATAAGAACGCTTGTGCCAAAATTTCAAGTCGAATGTTGGAAATTTGGCTTAGTTATGACCATTTAAATATCTGACAGGAACATGTTCTCTCAACCAGGGATCTCATCATGAGCTAGTCCCGACAATGAGTCTCATTAGGCTGTACCAAGCGTGTTAATTTGTTAAAGAGACGACGTTCTGATCATTCAAGGTGAAATCACAAACGTTAGCAATTCCGGTGCTTTCAGCTGAAAGTGAAAGGATGCAGTCTGCAGCCAATCTCATCCTAATTTCAAACATCAGAAGTCCTTGAAACTTTGGCACAAAATTACAATTATAGATTGCAATTAAATTATTGATCACAATTATTATTGATCACAATTATTATTGATCACAATTATTATTGATCACAATTATTGATCACAATTATTGATCACAATTATTGATCACAATTATTGATCACAATTATTGATCACAATTATTGATCACAATTATTGATCACAATTATTGATCACAATTATTAATCACAATTATTGATCACAATTATTGATCACAATTATTGATAACAAAAGTATCAAGAAAATTTGTAGCTCCTAGCTTTAAAAAGAGGGAGTGGCGTGCACACCAACTGTATTCGACAAAATTTTAGGATAATTTCAGGGAATCGCTGAAGTTGTTTTGCAATTGCGACGTTAACTACGTGAGTTATTGAAGGATCGTGTGGGTAGTTACTTCTGAGCCACACTGTATTTAAATACTTCTTGACGAAGGTCGGCTACTTGTCGTTTTCCCAAGGGAGTCAGTTCAGGGTCTCGAATGTTAACTGCCTCGTGAACCTTTTTTTCATCAAACAAACTGTTATGATATCCCTCTGCATGTCGAACAAATAAAAGCTGCTTTTCAATATTCTTGTAAGTATATCCATTCACCTTACAGTCTGAAAAGAAAGCGTGTTACTAATATTCACCTTACAATCTGAAAATAAAGTGTGTTCAAGAGTTTTATAACTCAGTTGAAACCAACTCACACGGATGTATTTATGTTCATGATGCTGATTCCAAATCACCTTACATGACATAAAATGCTCCCCTGGCATGTTATGGGCAAAAAAACTGAAGTTTGTACGTTTGCAGTCTAGTGGTGTAACGTTACCATTTGGCCTCCCACTGTTAAATCTTTAGGCGCCAGTTCAAAAATTTTCTTTTTTGCCCCTTACAGTTTTTTGGCGCCTCCCTCTGTAGCTGTCTGTCCTAACCGCTGCAACGTTTTGCCATCTCATATACCCAAACACAATTACTTATTCCCTAGTCGGCAATGGTAGGGGGAAATGACAATTACATATAGCTGTTTAGATAGAGTGGATGTATGGACATGGACAGTCCGATGAAAGATTCTAAAAATGACCATTTAACACAAAAAAACATCTTAGAGCTTGTACATCATTATTATATAATATACTAGAAAAACCCGTGGTCACAGGGAGGAAGCTAATACTATGAACTTTGAATGCAATATACAAAAAGGAACTTTCGAATTATTATAGTATAGATAATAATGATTACCTACTAGCTGTAAAACGTTTTCTTGGTGATATACCAAGAATGGTGATATAATTCATACATACATGCAGGGTGGCCCATAAGTCAGTGTACAAACGTTTGCGTTTGGGCTTTTAACATAGCCATTTTTCATATTTGAAGATTCTGTCGACAAAGTTATAAAATTCGATTTCTGGAGGCAATGCCCTTTCTAAATTAAATTATTGATCTATATACCCGCAAACACGATTGCATTACAATTTGGCTCGATCCATTTATTGGAAATATCAAAAAAAGCATTCATTATTTTATTTGATGGATTCCTCGTATGAGTAATGATAGCAAGTCAAAAAGAATTATCTCAATCGGGCAATCAGTGATTCACTGACCTATGAGCCACCCTGTATATTGGCAAACCAGCTGAACTTGTATTTGCTGCTAATTATATCAAAGCTGTCACATTCTATCGTTGGGTTTATGGTATTAAATTAATATGTTGTTTGTTTTAGTGCAGTACACTTAGTATGAATGAGACCACGGCAAACTTCACAAGGGAGCGACGATGATGGCACCTTGCCAGTTTTTATATCGCCCACCGAATTGAAGTATTACACAGATGACATCTCCTCCCACAAACAAGTCGTCACCATTTACAATCCCTATTCTTACACTCTAAAGTACAAAGGTAGGTAACTATTCTTACACTCTAAAGTACAAAGGTAGGTGACGATTCTTACACTCTAAAGTACAAAGGTAGGTGACGATTCTTACACTTTAAGGTACAAAGGTAGGTGACTATTCTTACACTCTAAAGTACAAAGGTAGGTGACTATTCTTACACTTTAAGGTACAAAGGTAGGTGACTATTCTTACACTTTAAGGTACAAAGGTAGGTGACTATTCTTACACTTTAAGGTACAAAGGTAGGTCTGGGGAATCCCGAACCAATGAATAATGATGTTACTCTCCCCCAGTTTTGTGCACTGCACCCAGAAAATACCATGTTATAGAGAGTGAAGGACTGATAAAATCTCACTGCCGTATTGATGTAGTTATCCGACACAAAGAACCCCTTGATGAGTCCACTCTTGATAAATTTCAAATTCAGCTCTTTGATAATGGCAGTTCGGCTATCAGGGGACACAAACAAGTTATCAGCCACGTGCTTCCAAGAAAACCAAAGGTAACTTTCTGCTGATTATTTCACGATTTTATCCCGTTCAGTTTTACTCACCTATGCTATTACACCACTACTACTACACTACTCACCTATGCTCAACAGATTCCAAAGCTTGACCTTTTTCACCGATCTCGGTTTGTCCCATATATTTTCTTTTTCTGAAATTTTCTCTAAAGATTGTTGTGAAGGTGATAGAGTACTAATAGATTGGCGTGGATTTCTACGCAGTTTTACAATCGGCTGCAAGTTAGTACTCTCGACAACTAAGTGAGGTTTCAAAATAGGTTTCAAGTTGTGTGGTTGCATCTTCAGCGAATGTCGGTCAAAAGGATTTATCAATCGACTTTGAATAATCGGACTTATTGTTTCAACATTTAGTAGTCCCATAATGGTGTGGATCATGCCCAAATCTGAGGAATCTTCAAGAAAGCTATAAGGCAGGAGTTTCTCTATTCCTCTAGTGCTGAACCCCCAGGTCAGGTAGGGGGCTGAACCGCTATCTTTGTCATTTCTACAGCTTCTACTGGGTTTTGAGACACTTTTACCAGACTGCGGGGTAACAACAAATGTGTCCTTGTATGGTGCGGATACTGTTACCTCCCTGATATCTATCATCATCTACTTTGAGAAGGTATCTCAACTTTTTCGGAGCAGCTGATGGTTAATTGAGTATCTTTACATGTGGTATTAGTGGGACCACGTGATCATGTAGCTCCCTTCACATGTATACATGTAGCGACTTCGGCAAAATGGAGGGTTAGAAAACAGACAGTGCACAAAGTACACACACCTAAACAGAGGGCTAATAAAAAGCGTGAACTTCCTTGAATTATTATTGATGAGCTTGTACATTGACGAATGTACAAGCTCAGTATCCTAAAAATAGAGGGGGGGGGGGGTGACACACCCCAAATAGGCTGAGTCTCATAAATCGTAACATCTTGATCTTCTAAGATAGGATGGACGCAGGTTGTGGTAAATTTCCTTTTTACTTTAAAGTATCTTCTGCGATTTGTCGAAGCTATTTGTCGCAGCTAAGAATGTTGGCGCTATCTTTATGTTTATTGAAGAGATTATCATGATGGCACTACTTTAATATCTGTGACGATTGTAGCACTTAACTCCACAATTATTACTAACTTAATAGTAGGTTTTACACGTGAGGGGAACAAAAGCAGCAGTAAGTCTCGTGTTGAAACATTAATTAAACTATAATCCTTGGTGGCTGTACTTGCGCTCCTGTCTCGTGTTGAAACATTAATTAAACTATAATCCTTGGTGGCTGTACTTGCGCTACTGTCTCGTGTTGAAACATTAATTAAACTATAATCCTTGGTGGCTGTACTTGCTCCTGTCTCGTGTTGAAACATTAATTAAACTATAATCCTTGGTGCTTTGGTGGCTGTACTTGCGCTCCTGTCTCGTGTTGAAACATTAATTAAACTATAATCTTTGGTGGCTGTACTTGCGCTCCTGTCTCGTGTTGAAACGTTAATTAAACTATAATCCTTGGTGGCTGTACTTGCGCTACTGTCTCGTGTTGAAACGTTAATTAAACTATAATCTTTGGTGGCTGTACTTGCGCTCCTGTCTCGTGTTGAAACATTAATTAAACTATAATCTTTGGTGGCTGTACTTGCGCTCCTGTCTTGTGTTGAAACATTAATTAAACTATAATCCTTAGCTTGGTGGCTGTACTTGCGCTCCTGTCTCGTGTTGAAACATTAATTAAACTATAATCCTTGGTGGCTGTACTTGCGCTCCTGTCTCGTGTTGAAACATTAATTAAACTATAATCCTTGGTGGCTGTACTTGCGCTCCTGTCTCGTGTTGAAACATTAATTAAACTATAATCCTTGGTGGCTGTACTTGCGCTCCTGTCTCGTGTTGAAACATTAATTAAACTATAATCTTTGGTGGCTGTACTTGCGCTCCTGTCTCGTGTTGAAACATTAATTAAACTATAATCCTTGGTGGCTGTACTTGCGCTCCTGTCTCGTGTTGAAACATTAATTAAACTATAATCTTTGGTGGCTGTACTTGCGCTACTGTCTCGTGTTGAAACATTAATTAAACTATAATCCTTGGTGGCTGTACTTGCTCCTGTCTCGTGTTGAAACATTAATTAAACTATAATCCTTGGTGCTTTGGTGGCTGTACTTGCGCTCCTGTCTCGTGTTGAAACATTAATTAAACTATAATCTTTGGTGGCTGTACTTGCGCTCCTGTCTCGTGTTGAAACGTTAATTAAACTATAATCCTTGGTGGCTGTACTTGCGCTACTGTCTCGTGTTGAAACGTTAATTAAACTATAATCTTTGGTGGCTGTACTTGCGCTCCTGTCTCGTGTTGAAACATTAATTAAACTATAATCTTTGGTGGCTGTACTTGCGCTCCTGTCTCGTGTTGAAACATTAATTAAACTATAATCCTTAGCTTGGTGGCTGTACTTGCGCTCCTGTCTCGTGTTGAAACATTAATTAAACTATAATCCTTGGTGGCTGTACTTGCGCTCCTGTCTCGTGTTGAAACATTAATTAAACTATAATCCTTGGTGGCTGTACTTGCGCTCCTGTCTCGTGTTGAAACATTAATTAAACTATAATCCTTGGTGGCTGTACTTGCGCTCCTGTCTCGTGTTGAAACATTAATTAAACTATAATCTTTGGTGGCTGTACTTGCGCTCCTGTCTCGTGTTGAAACATTAATTAAACTATAATCCTTGGTGGCTGTACTTGCGCTCCTGTATCGTGTTGAAACATTAATTAAACTATAATCCTTGGTGGCTGTACTAAGTACTTGCGCTCCTGTCTCGTGTTAAAACATTAATTAAACTATAATCCTTGGTGGCTGTACTTGCGCTCCTGTCTCGTGTTGAAACATTAAGATAAGCACTATTTCAGGTGACAGTTCAAGAAGCTCCTATGCAGCAGCTCCCTCCTCCTGAACACCAAGGTAACTTTTTCCTCATTAGTGGGTATTTAGTCTCGGCTAAACATATAAGCATTAGATTATATCAGAAGTCTCAAAAGCAAGTTAACAACATTTTTCAACTCTCCAGATTAAATAAATATAGTACTATGTTTTTACAGAAACCTTTGCAGTCACTGAGTCCAATACAGATAGAGGACAGCACCGTATGGACCCACTAGTTCTGCTTGTGGCAGCAGTATGTGGGATGGCACTGCTACTTCCTACCTGGCAGGTGGATAGTTCCACTCTCCCACCTTATCTTCATCTTACAATCCACCAGAAACTGGTGGTGGCGTACGTCCTGGGACTCGTTACCATGGTAATTCTACACTTCTAAGTGCGTTACACTATCCGGTACGTTTAAGATCTTGTCGGTTGTATATGAACCCCCTCCCGATACCCTTGTTGTATGTTTGAACTTAAGACTGTATGTAAAGCCATATTTTTGCTTGTACTAATAATAGCGATCAGCTTCACGGCCATTAACGTTATTCGACGGAGAAATGAGTCATAACTCAGTGACTCACAAGCGCGATTGATCGTTTTCACGGCACAAATTTTCGCGAATTTCTATGTGAACATTCCTCGTTTTACAGTCGCTGATTATAAAGTAACTTGTTAATGACTACGTTTGCGAGATCATCACTGAATTTCGGTGTAACAAAAATCGTCCATTAAATCTAAGGTTTATATTCCTAAATTGTTGTTAGTACAGCACCCACTTCTAGTTTCACTAAATTCCTAGTGCTATTTTTATATTAAGGCCTCAGATACCTGCGACCTCACTTTGGAAGATATGACACTGTTTTTAGCTTAACAATTCATTAACCAGAGGTATCACTATTGGTGACTTGGTCAATAGTGTGAATATTGGTAGGAATCCTATCAAGTGTACGGTAACTCCCTGAAACTAGAGCTTAGTAACTCCCTGAAAGCTTAGCCAGGTCTTATCTTTGTCGCGAGATACCAATCATATGCTGACTGTCACTTTATACAACCCTTCTGTTGCTTTATCTCTAGATGTAGTCGCGCAGTATTTGTGGTACTGTTAACTGGATCACAAATTTCACTTCTCAATTTTCTGGTTGAAACTTTTTTTTTGGTTTTTGGCTTTTTTGGGGCCGCCGACCTATTATGTGGATCCCGCACTTTCATGCCATTTTTGTAAGTGATAAATCGTTCAACTGTGTACATAATGTTTATAATAATATAAAGTAAAACCTCGATTAACTGCGCCCCGATTTACCGCGGCTGTTACCTTTCCCTAAATAGATCTTAACATTATATAATAGCATGAGAAAACATAACCCCGATTTACTGCGGGTGTTACCTTTCCCCAAACTCCGCAGTAAATCAGAGTTTTACTGTGGTTGTTAAATTTACCAACTGGAGTATGGGGGAACTGGGAGATACAACTTAACCATGAAATATATATGTATGAGTCGACTTGAGAATTAAATGACGACTTCTTAGCTAGATTAGCATTCCTAGAACAGAATAGAAGGAGCGAATAGAAGGAGCGAATAGAAAGATCGATTAGAAGGAGCGAATAGAAGGAGCGATTTCCTCACATTAATCTCGCCAATCCACCCGACCGTTTTACAAAATTGCTCCCCAGTGAAACCCAGACCCATCTTACACAAATCGTCGTACGCTTTATTTTCCAGAAGTTTTTACAATCGTAAGCGTTTTCTCGACTCACATGGCTACCACACAGGCACAAGTGGTCGCACGGGATTGGTGACCATCTCAAATGTTCGGTCTCTCGAAATCAAGTTTCACAAAAATATCAAGCCGAATCAGGGTTCAAATCCGGTCTGATACAACTCGGCTGGTGATAAGACTAACCCGTCTTTGATTTAATACATGCAGAGTTTGTGCCATTTTTGTAAAAACATTAGCAGTTTAGTTTAGTTGAAATAACTTTTTTCATAGCTATTTTCCATTATGATTGACATGATACTGAGTACTGACTCGGGCCTATTCGCCATAAAAAAAGTTGAAACATGTATATTTTCTAAAGTTAACCCAATAACCAACATCAGCCACTACCAGTGTTAAATGGAAAAGAAAAAGAGAACCACCAACCCATCTGATTCATCTAACATCAGGACAGGACTCCCGTTACGTGACGACGGGGACTCAAGTACCAGCTACTTTCAGGATATCTACACATGGAAACCAAGTCGGAGACTCCGTACTTTCTCGCAGAAATACGAACGGGCTCACTCAGAAAGAGGGCGTAACATGAAGATAGCAGCACGATTGTTTATATTCCTTCTTATGAACTTTCTTTTTATTCTGCCCTGCGTGTGTGTTTTCATGGCTCTTGAAGGCCCGGCAAGCGTGCGACACAAGCAAGTGCTTTACCAAGAATATCGCCAGTTCTTGTTATCACGGAAACTTTCCCGTGTAAACGTAGAGAAGCTGATCCGAGTACAGGAAATAACATGTAAACAATTGCGGGGCAACCCGTGGTCGTACCGTCACTCCCTCCACCTCGCGTACAGTATCATCACGACCATAGGGTTTGGAGAGTTAGCACCTATCACACCTCTGGGTAAGCTCACTGTCATAGGATACGGAACACTGGGAATCGTCCTGAACATCCTGTGCCTGGCGAGCCTGAGACTCCTGTTCAGCATGTTGATATACAGGTTGCTGTGGTGGTATGTGAGATATAAGCAAGGAATCACACGTCGCGCGAGGAGCGTCGCTAAAGTTACTTTCACTCTGCTGCTCATCTGCGCCCTGTGGACTGTCACCTCTATCTTTACTTTGACAAGGAGTCACGGCAACTGGAGTTGGTTTTTGTCCTGGTATAGCACCTTTATAGCTGCCACAACTATCGGCTTCGGTGACATGGTTATTCTGGACGATTTTAATGATGGGGAGTCCATCACCGTCCTGGAGCACATGCTACAGTTCCTCTTCATGATCAACATTGTCTTGATCCTAGCACTGTTCTCTACCTTGTTTGAACTTTTAAAACAGACCAATGTTAGAAGGGTGAGCAAGAGGGTGTCTCATATTGTTAACATCATCCATCAGACTCAGATACAGTCGAGAATCAACAATTCTGGGTTAAACCCCATCTTGGGAGTTGGCAGGGAATTAGCTGCTGGGTCAGTTGTTGAGGTGATGCCAACCATTAGGGAAAGTGAGAGTGAAAGAGAAAGTCACACCGACACTGACAGAAACACCGACAGTAGCAGTAATAGTAAATCCAATAATTAAGAGTTGTTCAAACTTTTAACAAGAAATGCGGCCGCTTTTCTTTTGTGGATGGCCGCTCAATTTCCCGATCCGGGATGAAGTATTTTATCATATTCCATACCACCTGGGGACCCCAGTCTTTGCGGTTTATAAGCATGCAGATATGGCGGAGTGACAGGCCGAGCGCCGCCCAGTTGATATAATTCTATATTGGATTTGAAAATCGTGTATATTTCTATGTAACCATATGTTTATTGTTTATGCAACCTGACACGGATTTGTGCAAAATAGTAATACTAACTCAAAATAATAATACAATGCTATCAATTTGTCCCTAGCGGGATGCATACATGGTGAAATTAACTATGTACTTGAACATTTCAGCACCGCGCGCCAACAATTGTTTAATTCAGATGATCGCGCAAAATAACTTTGCGCAGGCAGACACGTGGGCGATAACTAGACTGGGGAGGGCACGTACGCACGCACGCTCGCACGGTCGCAAGCTACCATATACAAAAAAAACCTCGATCGCTAACCCTTGTCCTTGACTCTTTTGTGCCTTCGGCACTTAGAGTCATGGATCGGGAAAAAATGTGATATTGTATTTAATGGGTTGATTTAGGGTTTTAATAAGTTTATAAGAACTAGGTTTTAGTTTTAATAACTAGCTTTTTTATTAACTCATTTTATGTTCATGAAGTGATGAACTACTTTTTATGCTGATGATTTTGAATAACTAAGAGATTAAAAGTTACACGCTCACCATTTATCTATCTCGTGACTTAGTAATGAGTATTGAGTAAGCCCTAGTAGCTTTGTCAGGGTACATTTCTGAATATGCTATACACGGCGCAGTGATACATGATATTACTTATCATAAACAAGTCACGAGGATACCTTGTAAGTGAGAAAAGTAGTGCTGAGTGTCCCTGATATTCCTTTTACCAATCAACAGGTTGTAAGGTAAATTGGATTCCTGCCAAGTTTTATTTTAGAACGTAAAGCACAGTAAACTGTATATCATGTGAGTTGTGTGTGTTAAGCGTCAGATTTCCGTATGTGCCAACTATAGTAGTGCTATAACTAATAACTATCCATCACAATACATTGAGATAATATCAGTCTGGTGTGGTTCATTTCATATACTGTTTAAATAGAACATCGGACAAGAGATACGTTATAGGTAGCAGCGAAGTACGAATAAATAGATTAAAAAGTATGTTTTTATTGCCACCCTTGCATCTGGTCCGAGTCCGTGAGCACGGATCACCTGGGAGTGGTAACATCATGAAGCCGTTAACTGCCCGCTAGTGTATCCACTAGGGGGTCGGCTGCTCTGGCAGTTAGGGGATGCAATTATGCTGGGTGATGCGGTCTCGTGGCTGGGTGATGCGGTCTCGTGGCTGGGTTATGCGGTCTTGTGGCTGGGTGATGCGGTCCTGTGGCTGGGTGATGCGGTCTCGTGGCTGGGTTATGCGGTTTTGTGGCTGGGTGATGCGGTCTCTTGGCTGGGTGATGCGGTCTCTTGGCTGGGTGATGCGGTCTCGTGGCTGGGTGATGCGGTCTTGTGGCTAGGTGATGCGGTTTTGTGGCTGGGTGATGCGGTCTCGTGGCTAGTGATGCGGTTTTGTGGCTGGGTGATGCGGTCTCTTGGCTTGGTGATGCGGTCTCGTGGCTGGGTGATGCGGTCTCGTGGCTGGGTGATGCGGTTTTGTGGCTGGGTGATGCGGTCTCTTGGCTGGGTGATGCGGTCTCGTGGCTGGTGATGCGGTCTCGTGGCTGGTGATGCGGTCTCGTGGCTAAGTGATGCGGTTTTGTGGCTGGGTGATGCGGTCTCGTGGCTAGGTGATGCAGTTTTGTGGCTGGGTGATGCGGTCTCTTGGCTTGGTGATGCGGTCTCGTGGCTGGGTGATGCGGTTTCGTGGCTGGGTGATGCGGTCTCGTGGCTGGGTGATGCGATGTCTTGGCTGGGTGATGCGGTCTCGTGGCTGGGTGATGCGGTCTCGTGGCTGGGTGATGCGGTCTCGTGGCTGGGTGATGCGGTCTTGTGGTCACTCACGGTTTAAATAGTTTTGTTCTCGGATGGTTAGTGCAGACTAGGCTATCCACTCCGATAATCGTAACCGATAATTATCTCCGATAATTCGTTAAAAAAAGTTATCTGTTTATCTAGATAAAACATATTTTTATCGGTATAAAAATTCACTAGATATTACCGAAAATACTGCCACAATACCGTAAAATTGTAAAGAAATATTAGTGTTTTTGCCTTCCCAAGTAATCCAAGAAACAGTCCCAAACGTCTTCTAGTATGATAGAAGAGGTAGTTTACTTAGATGTGAGCTTAAGAGGTTTATTTACATTTGTATACCTATGGAACTGTAGAACTGTATGAACTGTAGAAATCCAGAGAAGGTTATTGACATTGTTCTCTTGAGGGTGCTGGCGTTTTACCTTACAACCATTCTGGAGACAGGAACGAGCATGTTACTGTTAACAAGAGTCAAAAATACCGGCAGGGCACTCAATTGAATTCCGTAAGTGTTCTGGGCGTGAAACATTGTCTTCAGGAGAAGGAATCTGTTGCTCCAAGTTATCGACAGGATAAGAAAACGGTTCACTGAATCACTTTAAATGCTTTACTGTTTCGAGGAGAATTGGTATTTGGTGCACTACTGTTCTCAGGAGAAGGAAACCCTTGGTCTACTGTTTTGAAGAGAACTATTGCGTTACTGTTCTCAGGAGAAGAAAACCGGTGGTCTACTGTTTTGAAGAGAACTAGTGCGTTACTGTTCTCAGGAGAAGGAAACCAGTGGTCTACTGTTTTGAAGAGAACTAGTGCGTTACTGTTCGCAGGAGAAGGAAACCAGTGGTCTACTGTTTTGAAGAGAACTATTGCGTTACTGTTCTTAGGAGAAGAAAACCGTTGGTCTACTGTTTTGAAGAAAACTGGTGCACTTCTGCTCCCCGGAGAAGAAAACTGATGCTCTAATATTTTCAAAAGAAAGGAAATGGTACTTTAGCAAGATTACTGGTAAACAGTAATAAAAGTCGACAATTAGTTTTTGCGAAATTTGGAAAACATTTTGGCTTTGGCCTTCAGCAGAAAAATTATCGGTTTTATCGGTTTTATCTAGATAAAACCTAAATCTTTATCTGTTTATCTAGATAAAAGATTTCATACCGATAATGGATAGCCTAGTGCAGACGAGCAGCAGCACTGTTTTTTATTTTTACTTTTATCTTTTTATATGGTCTGATGTCATGCCTACTAGGTATAGTGTCACAACCAGTCTACCGTGGCGAGGTGCCTGGAAAATCGCAGCCATCAGACAAAACTCCAACACTTATGACACAAACGTCAAGCACTAGGGCTCGAGCCCCTAACAACAACTATGTAGGTAATTGTTGCTTGGACCATACATATAGATCGTGGTGACTAAGGTTTCGACAATGTAGCATTCAAATCTATAGAGAAGGCCCTGAACCGGAAATGTGAGTCGTCTTCAGTCAACAAATGGATTATGTCCCTACTCCGCAATAGAACCACGAACGTGGAATTAAACGGATGCAGGAAATCCATTGTTATAAGAAAAGGATGTCCACAAGGTGGGATCCTGTCTCCATTCTTATGGAACCTGGTAGTTGACAGTCTCCTGTCGTACACCAGAGACAGGATACCATGTGACCTGCAAGGGTTCGCGGACGATCTTGCTTTACTAGCCACGTTGGAGGGACCGGCAAAATGTGGAAACCAGGGCTTCGATGCCGATCATCTCAGAGGGATGACGCAGAAAAGTCTTGAAGCCATCATGAACTGGTGCACCGATAACGGGCTGAAGCTAAGTACTCTTAAAACACATACAGTAATGTTCACCTGGAGGAGGAAATGGGAATTCTCTGAACCTCTAACAGTGAACGGAACCGAAATAAGTATGCGTAACTCAACTAAGTTTCTAGGAGTAACACTCGATAGCAAACTCACGTAGAATGAACACATCAAAAATCAATGTAAAAAAGCCAAAGGCATACTCATGCAATGCAGGAGAGCCATTGGACCAACATGGGGGTTCACCCCCATGACCATGAAATGGATATATACGGCTGTAGTCAGACCTTCCCTGACAATCTGCGACAATCTGGCTCAATGGTGTATCCAAAAAACATAACCTAACAATCCTAAGCAGCGTTCAGCGGCTAGGGAATATTCTCATAACAGGAGGGTTACCATCAACTCCTGGAACAGTTCTAGACATCATCACAGAAATCGTCCCCATCGACCTGGTGATAGAAGGGAAGCAGCGAAAGGAGCTCTTAGACTCAAATCCAACAACCACTGGATATATGAGCCGATGGTTAATAAGAAGGGCAACCTAATCACCCATACAAAACTCAACGAACAGTTACTAAAGGCTATCAAACTCGATTCTGAAGGACAAGACCAACAGACTTCATCACTGAATGTTGACATTGGTTTTACCACAGAAATTCCACGACTCTCAGAGTACGAGGAAATTGAGAATGACGCCAACACCATACAATGCTACACAGACGGCTCCAAAATGAATGAACAAGCTGGAGCAGGAGTGTACATTGTCGATAACGACACCCCTCCACGCGAGGAGTCCTACCACCTAGGAACCAACTCAACCGTCTTCCAGGCCGAGACATTTGCCGTAGGAACAACGGCAAAAAAACTACGGGAATCTGGAACCAAAAGTAGAAAAATTATCATAAACTGCGATAGCCAGGCGACAATAATGGCAATGAGCAATATCAAAGTCAAATCAAAAAGCACCAGCAAGGTATAAGGTGTAATTATGGCACACTGCATGTAAGGTGTAATTATGACACACTGCTGTAAGGTGTAATTATGACACACTGCATGTAAGGTGTAATTATGACACACTGCTGTAAGGTGTCATTATGACACACTGCATGTAAGGTGTAATAATGACACACTGCTTGTAAGGTGTAATTATGACACAATACTGTAAGGTGTAATTATGACACACTGC